AGTAAATATATATACATATGTATGTATGTATCCAAATGTGGTATCAGCTGCTTGACAATATGAAGAAGGAAGATATGTTTGTTTTCAATGTAGCAAGGAAGGTTTAACGATCTAACATTACCAGCTAGTGGTACAAATGTCTAATTTTGGCTGATTTTCCATCTGGTTATATATGCATCCATAGAACTGCTTCCAAAAGGTCGCTCTGCTTCTCATTAGCTTGTAGACTATATCCTGGTTGTGAAAGCTTTCTGATTGGTTGGTTAAACTGTTTTTAAAACTAGTGAAATTTTGGTTTCCATGTTATAATCTGTTTATTTCCTTTCTTACATCTTAATTGTGAAAGCTTTCTGATTGGTTTTTGAACTATGGCTTTGTTTACCTGGTGATTTTAAGTATACATCTATTTTTAGAGATGGTGAAATTTTTGTCTTTTTATTTATTTCTCTTTCACCACAAGAGCCCCTACCCTGAATCCATCATAAAAATTCAAAATGTCTCTCAGCACCTAATTAAATTTTGAAATTAATCATTCAATTCAGAGCAGATAGGTTTAAATGGCATTGAATAATACACAGATATATTGTTTTTTTTCCATTTACTTTGTATGTAAGGCTTTATTTTAGAGCAATTACATTCTGCTACCAATTGTCTTGTAACGCCTTTCTCTCTTTATCTATGTTTCTGGTTTAATAATGTCTAATCTCGTGGCAAATTCATTTAAAGCATCTTCATATCAAGGGTAGTAACTCCACTCACTCTAATATGTAGTGATAAATTCTAAATATTTTAAATGTTATATATTAGGCAAATGAATAACAAAGTGAAAAAAATTCTGTGTAACATGTTTTGTTTTTCACTTTGTCATTCATTTGCCTAACATTGTATATGGAAATTTACATATCATATTCTCCCATATATATATATATATATATATATATATATATATATATATATATACATCCACAAACAGATTGTTTCGCTGTATCACAGCTCTTCAGTGTGGCTAGATGTCCGATTGCTTCAAGCCAAGATTGAAACCTGACTGATTTGACATCAGTCAGAGACCCTATCCCTAGGCTATCATCACACAGAGGAAGGGAAATTTTAATATTTTTCTATGCAAAATATGCCAGTGGCTCGTAGAACAATTCATACTTGAAGAGTAATGCATTAATAGCAGTAGGAGCCACTGTTTTTTAAACACCCCTTTCTCTTGAGAGCTATGTGTGTGTGTGTGTGTGTGTGTGTGTGTGTGTGTGTGTGTGTAAATTATTTTCACATAGAGTGTATCTGTAGAGGAATAAAATGAATAAAAAGAGACAATATGAAAAACTATTCTTAGCCAATACATTTCATCCTCTGAGGAACTTTATCAAGGCAATATAAGATTTATTTTGTTGCATGTGTTTATATACAAAAGCAAAGATGTCATTTGTTTTAATTTGAGAATATTCATGAATATTGAAAAGGTGGTTAAAAGGTCAGTCAAAACATGTGGAGTACACAGTGTTATAATTCAAAGTCTGGCAAAAAGTGAGTAATATTCAAGGTTTTTTTTATTTTTTAAAATGAATACTGTTTTGATTGTGATCAGATTGTTATGGTATGAGATGCTGTACCTCTTCAAAAATTCAATATTAAAAAACATTTCTTGAATATTACCTTGGATGCTGAAAAAGTGGGAGAAGAAAAAGAGAGAATAGTACCACCTATATGGAGTGATAGTGAAAGATGAGACGTGAAGGAGTTTGGAGTTAATGGGTGGCTTGATTCCTCTGACCCCTCTCAAAAGGAGGCTGGACAACATCTAAATTTGAAAAAAACATATTTTGAAAACATGGGATTTTAGAAAAAGGTTGATGTTAAGGGTGGAAGACAACCGAACACCAGACCCTCATCAGCCACACACCTGCCAGACATAGGACTCAATATAAACTGTAGGTTTGGACAACTTGGAGAGTCCCCACATTACCGCTACTGGAATCCATATCATTTGCCAAAAACTCCTGATCAATTCCTTGTGCCAGCCCTGAAGACCAGAACTTAAAAATTTAAATTACTATTAACACAGACTGTAAACTCCCAGTGTCATTTGATCATAACAGTAAGTGGGAAGTTTTGAAACCGTTGTATACAACAAATCATATATAAACAAAATCGTTTTCTTTATTACATTTTCTTTTGAGGGGGGTGTTTTTTTTTCTAAACAATTTATTAACACAAGTTACTAACACGTATACTTTAAATTAAAAAAAATGATCAAATGAATACAGTTGGTTAGTAAAAAATGGCTTGAATAAAATTTGATGTGTAAAACTTTGTATATGTGAGGCTCAGACTGATGATGCAAAAGCCAAAATTAAACCTAAGGGTTTATAAAGAAAAAGATACATGTATAAAATTTAGATTTCAAAATTTTTTCAAAAAGAGGCTGATGATCTCAAAACCTGCCAAAATACAGGTATCATTTAAAGAGATGAGATATATTTTGTGATTTTTTTTTGACCAATGGGGAAAGTAAGTTATGCCCTTAGATTTCAATTTTTTATTTGGTTTTGAAGTTGATTTGTGGTATTTAAGAGGTCCAGTTTGTCTGACAGATCAAAGGGTTTTGGCATTCACAAGGAGGATGTTGGCTGGGACTGGGAGTTGAAGAAAAGAAAAACTAAAAGCCACTGATGAAGAATGAAAAAGAAATAACAGAAACTAAAGAGATAAAAACAGAAAAGAGACAATTTTACAAATTTAGAGAAATATACAGTTATCTTTCTATAGTTGGTTGTGATGTCACAAAATTAGGGGTATTAACCCTGATTTTGAACATTTTATGAAAATATGAGATTTATCTCACTGGGGTGACTCAGTGAGGTGAGATAAATCTCATCAAAGTAAATATAAATTTCTTTCAAATTTCACACCAGAATAAGTCTTGTGTTTTTTCATTTGCACCATTCATAATATTCTGGGTAAGAGATTTGACATTCTCTCTTCTCTTCTCCCCGTTTTATTTTCATGGTTTCATGGCCAGAATATGAACATTCTAGCCACACACCGATATATATATATATATATATATATAGGACTCTTCGGTAAAGTGAATTGAGTCCTCTCAGTTACTGTGTGTTTATCTAAAAATAAATATGCTAAAATTCACCTTCGTCCCTGCTGTGCACTGACGGCTTAGTGGTAGAATCTCCGACTGATGACAATTCAGTCAGGTTTCAATCATAGCTAGAGGCAACTGAACGTCTAGCTACACTGAAGAGCTGTGATGCAGCAAAACAGTCTGCCTGTGGATGACAATATATAGGCTCCTGAAAAATTTATTTCGGTTGAGCTCTCTGGAGGAGGAAATGTGGGTTTGTAAACAGTGAGTATTACGGCTATTATAGCAAAACTCTTCAGTAAAGTGAATCGAGTCCTCTCAGTTACTGTGTGTTTATCTAAAAATAAATACGCTAAAATTCACCTTCATCCCTGCCATGTGCCGACGGTTTAGTGGTAGAATCTCCGACTGACGCCAATTCAGCTGGATTTCGATCCTAGCTAGAGGCAACCAGATATCTAACCACACTGAAGAGCCGTGATACAGCGAAACAGTCTATCTGTGGATGACAATATACGTATATATATATATATATATATATATATATATATATATATGTGTGTGTGTGTGTGTGTGTTTGTGTATTTTCTTCACCAGTAGTACAAATCTGAGCACTATTTTTATAAGAATGTTTTATGTATATATATATATATATACTAGGTCGGTGCAAGAGTCTTGCATGCCCTACCAAATCTATGATATGATGCCCCCCCCCCGGAATCTATGATCCCATGCTCTCCACTCTACTACATCTCAATTTTCATAAGGCAGTATTCATATAAAATACAATTTTTCTTCAAAATCTTATTATGTACAATAATGGATCATATGCAATATAGGTGAACAATTCGATTAGAAAAATTTTAAATAAATACAATGTATATAAATACCAATTTTAGAGAGATGCCATAATAGATCATTCCATCTTAAATAAATCAACAATATTTTGCAGCAATTTTTAACATCAATTTGAGATTTCTTCTTATTAAAAAGTTGAATAATTTTTACACATTCACCATTATGAATAAGAAATAGTGAATTTTAGAGGACTTTTTTTTTAGAAAAACAAATTCATGGATTTGAAAATAAAAAAAAATAAAAAGGCGCTGGAATGACATCAAAATCTGCAAAAATTTTCTGTCCTTTCATAATAATAGTCAGTTGTGCTTAGTTTAATTTGTGAGGTATGTAGGTAGAAAAAAAACAAATGTTAATTAGTGTGGGTCACAGAACACTGCCCGGTGCTCCTAACCAAGCACCTGAAGATTGTGTTGATCATGAAATTCAGAGTTGTGCTACCGGTGAGAAAAAAAAAAAATTATTAATTCTATAGATTAGACTAAAAAGTTAAGCAATTGATGAAAGAAATGGAAATCCTATGTAAATGCATTTCGTCCTTCTAATAATGAACTTCTACACAGACTAAAAATAAAATGATGGATGGAATTATGAACGAAAATATAAACAAAGTAACATCAGCTTAAAAACGTTGAGGAAAACGCTGAAGATACAGGAATTTTTTAATTTAAAATTTAAATCTTAAATCTATGGCATCCAATGTTTTTTTTTTTAGGCATTTTTAGCCAATTTCCTGCAGCTTCTTCTTACCGCTTTCTTTTTGTTGTATTTTTTTTCAATCGCTTTTTTATTTTTTAATGATTCCCTATATTTATGGATCCATCAATAAAAGAATTACTTAGTCTCAAGTCGCCCTTTTGAAGGATTAAATACGTTACATAATATTTTTTAAAAATTTGGTCAACATTAAAAAAAAAAACGTTCAGTATTTTTGGACGGTAATGCAATATTGAACACCAAACCAAGCCCCCAAATAAGCAAACTATAAAGTAGCATAGAGTTGTCTCCCTTGTGCTACTCTTTAACGTAAAAGAAACTCGATTCTCCGACGACGCCTTACTTCGCACCTTTGACTTGGTGCCAGGTTACCAAACCAACAGAACTTCCCGGGTATGTATTGTCAGATAAGAGCAATTTATTAATACTTTTCCTTCAATGTATGCATAAATTAATCCACTTGTTACACTCTCTTTTATTTACAGTGCATTTGTGAATTTACGTTTCAGAATTTTTAAAAATGATTTTGTTTTTTAAATGTATAAAAATACAGCACAACCTTATTATTGTTTATTTTAATCTCCTCTTCTAAGTCATTGTTGTAGATCCGAATGTTCACTGTTTGAAAACTCCACCCTCAATAAAATAGACGCAAAAAAAAAAAAAACTTTGCCCTGTTCTCCTTCACATGTGATGTTGTAGGTGTTAGTTAACTGTTAATGAACTCGTACGGTTTAACTTTTAACATACCTTTGTTTACTGTGTACTGAATTCGGCCCTCATTGGGTTCATCTATCCATATATTTATTTATTCTTGTTGCTCTGGGATGCATAATGAATGCACCAACACTCACATTATTGTAGGTATGCAATATGTAGACTTGTAAAAAAAAAAAAAAAAAAAAAAATTAAGCTGAACATGGTCAATTAAATATTGTTTACTGTTTTACTGTTAAAGATTTACTTGTGAAATTCAAACAGCTTTTTTTAACACTATTTATTTCAAACACGACGTCATAAACAAAATATTTTACGGACACTAAAAAGAAAAAAAGGAAGATGTTCATTATCGGATCTTAAGTTTTTTTACTTTAAAATAAATGTCCCTGATTCTGTACGTTTTTGATCCCCTATTTTAAAGAGCTATAAATTTTTTAAATGGAAGCCTTTTTCCCGAAATCAAAGCAAAAAAATAAAAAATATTTTACCATTACCCCTATTTAAAAAAAAAAAAAAAATTATCAAAAATTAGGGAATCATCCGATTTATGAAATTTTCAACACTTACTCATAATGAATGGCTTGTATGCTCTGTTTCCCGTCCCTTGTTTGTACCTATAAATAAATTTTGTCTTTTTGTCATTTCTCCTAAATCCTGTGCTGACATCTATTTACTCAAGCATTATCGTTAGGCAGGTTATGTATTGTTTTTCTTCTATCCCTCTTGCCTTCAATCTGTCCTGTGAGTATCAAATTTTCCAAACCTTCTTTCCTCATTATGTTCCTTAGAAATTTCAACTGCCTCTTTCTGATGTTAAGTATAAGTGACCTTTTAGTTTCCATTTTCTCTAAAACTTTCTCATTGCTAATATGTTTGGTCCATTGCATTCTCAGCATCCTTCTGTAGAACCACATTTCTATTGCTTGAAGTCTCTTATTCATCTGTGAGGAGATTGTCCAGTTAGTATTTACTGCTATATAGGAGGACTGATATTACATGACAGTTCAGTATTCTTTTCTTTGTCTCTAACGAAATTTTCCTGTTTCTTAATACTTTGATTAACTTTTGGAAGACTATCCCAAAGCGACTTTAGATTTCAGTTTCACACTTTCCTTTCTCTGTTAAAACACTTCAGATATTTAAGTTGTTGTAGTTGTTTGATTTTTTTTTTTTTTTGGTGGGGGGGTGTCTTCAATTTGTAATTTGCATATTGGGCTGTTCCTTTTGCTAACAACCATGCATTCTATCTTCTTTAGTCTTTTCTTCTCTTTCCTTCACTACCTTCTGTAGGAGTTCTTGTTGTTTCCTTTCTAAATCTGCTATCAACTCTATGTTATCTAAACATCTTGTGTTAAGATTGTGGCTGCCAATAATAAATCCTAGTGGGACTTCTAATTCTCTAAGAATTGCCTCGCTGTATAGATTGAATAAGTCTGGTGCAAAGACACATTCTTGCTTCACACCCCTTTCTAGTTTTTCATATTAACTGAATTCATTTTCTATCCATATGTACGTGGTTTGCTGCTAGTATAGATTCTGTATTATTCTAATATCCTTCCCAAATATGTCAAGGTTACTTAGCAACTCAAACAGTTCTTTGTGACATACCTTATCAAACACTTGTTTCAGTTAATTTCCTTTTTAGTAATTGAATTGTCCAAGGTTTTGTTCCCTCTTCTGTGGCCAGGTATTGAACTCAACTTTTTGGGTCAAGTCACTTTTTGGATTACTTAACCAATGCCTTTATACATATCACCTAGTGGATAGAAGAAAGTTGGAGTGTACAACAGCTGAAATATTGTGAATATGACAATAAAGATGAGGACAACAGTTTGAATGATGTAAATAGTGTAAATCGTTTTGTGAGATGATTTTTCTCTTCACTCGGGTGACAACTAGGGGCAGGCCTCTTGAGTTCTCACTGGAACAATTACTGTCTATCCTCCAGATAAGATGTCTCACGTGGAGTCACCAGGCATATCTTCACTAGCCTCTGAATTACTTACTTTCAAGGATGTATCTTAGGCATCACCAGTGTTGATTAGTCTTCCGCTTTCTGGGAAGTTGCTGCTGGTACTACTTGCTGACATGTTTGAACTGACAAAGAGGCACAGATCCTTTACATAGTGCAGCATCCCATCAATAAGAATCAAGTGCAAGCCACTGATCCTAGTGACACATCCTACTTGATATTGAGTTGTACATCTGCTTTGTTGGGGTTTTTTACCCATACACCATCCCCTAACTTGTACATCAGTTGTTCACACTCTTGTACTGGTAGAAACATTGAATCAATGCTTTGTAAACAGATTTGATAGTAGTAGATCTGATTGACAGGTGTAGTAGAGGATGATACACCATCTTTTGGTGTATCATTGTGCCAATATGCAGCCTCCATTATCTAGTATTGTTTCTATGTGCCAATATGTTTGATGCTGTGATGATGTTGTTCAACTATTCTGTTGCCAGAGGGGATATATATGCAGTTAAAATGGATGTAAACTCCTTGGGCAGTTTATTGTGGAATACGGTGTCCTTGTCAGTATTTCAGCAGGAGGGACCTATTTGAAAATTTGAAATGGTTGATCATGTTGGCTGAATCCTGCCAACACAGTTGTCACCAAATGGTGAATATAGTGAGACCACAGTCTATTCACATCAGGTAATGTCTATCATCATAATGATTGATGTCGATCCCCACCTGAATCCATATGTCACTAACATCCAATTTTCCCCTTGGCCATTGTGCTGGGTAACTGACATTTCCATGAAAGCTGCTTTCGAAGGCACAGGATCAATCCACCTTGTAAAATACAGTCTGATGCTGGGGGTGTCCACTTTCACAATGTAAAGACCTTATCTGGTCAGCGACATACTTGCTCACTAATATGATGTACAAATAAGTTTTACTGGTTCTTTCTCTTTCCATCTCTGGCACTCTTGTCAGCTTGTCTGCTTGGTTTTGGTTAGATTTGACCAATGTTCTGCTTACAGTTATAAGTTTAAGTCATACTCATTGACCAACTTTTCTAAGTTACTGAGCCTCTTCCAAATGGGCATCTTGCTCAGAGCTTTTGTGTGTATCTAAGCCTTTCCTGAGCGAGTGTCTAATAGCCATCCATGAACACATGCAGAGTCTATGAATAAATGCAGTTCCTTTGCCTTCCATTGAAGTGCTGCATTGACATCCTTAAGTACAGTGTCCCACTTTGCTATCTTTATTTGCTGAATGTCAGTTTCTGATTGCAGCCAACATCCATCCCCATTTAACTCTAGGAATGGTCCAGTTGCAAGGGAGCTTGAGTTGACCCATACTTCAAACTCAAGTCTGTTGACACACTACATGCCCCATATGGGGTCCTCTTGCTGTACCCTGGTAACAATGTCTATGATCATATTTCCAGTGGTTGGGGTTGGTTATTTCATCATCCGAACAGGATGTAACCACTGTAGTTTTTCATTTAATGAAAGCAGTCGTAATACCAAGCCATCTACAAATAGTATCCTACCAATTTTCCGTATATTGAAAATAGTTTTCTGCATGTCACAACTTCATGTCCCTTTGGTATTTCACCCCAATGCTTCCAATAAGGGATGTCCTGTTCCTCTTCCCGAGTACTTGGACATTGTTCTTCAATCATTCTGGTTCATTGCACGTTAGACCAAAGTTAGTGAAATGTTGCCTTACACATGCTGCGGACACTATATTTTTGTTGATGTATATATTGTTAATGTAAGCTGAAGTTGCCTATCAAATAGATTCATCTTTCACCAGAACAGTATCTGGGCTTTCCTGACAGCCAGTGCCACATTAAGCCCAAATCGCTATCAAGTTAGGCAGTATCTCCATCCCTTGTAAATAACCATAGTGATCAGTACACATTGAGTTGCAGATAAGCTTTTTTAAGATCGAGCACAGAGACCCTTTTCTTCATCATTCTTTCTGTTTTTTCAAACAAATATCAGCATGAGTAGTTTATACATCAACATGTCCCTTTAGTTCCCTGTAATACAACAAGGGGTGAATATTTCCTTTGTTCTTTTGTACCACTGCCATTAATGGGATTAGGCCTCTTGGGGGGGGGATCACCTTCTTCCTTGGGATAAGGTATCACCCATCAATTTACTAGCTATGTCTGTAGTTTGCATTGGTATTTGCTCATGGCTTGCTTAGACACAGGGTACTCAGATATCTCTATTTTTCGATATCCTGGCGGGTGTCAGTCTGACCACTTCCATGATGCATTTGTTATCTCTAGACTAAAGTTGAGCTTGTTGATATTTATGGCTGCACAAATGGGTGGTTTAGAAAATCTGACTTCACCCAATTCAGTGATGCAAACTCTGCTTAGCTTCTTGATAATGTCTATTTCAAGGAGTATGTTGAACCCCAACAATTCACTCTCTATTACCAAAAGATTGACTTTGGATTATTGTCATCTACACAAAATCTCACACTTGCAACTCCTTGGTTTCTGAGAAGCTTTCTGTTGGCCATCAGCATGTTCATTTTTTATCTGCTCCATGGACGACAGATCAATATATTGGTAAGCAACCATTGTCTACTAGGGTGGTGCATTTTGTCCCATGAACAAAAATTTAGCTATCTGAGAATTGTTAAACCAGACAACCAGATATGTGGCACAAAAGGTACACTGGAAGAATGAAAAATGCCATCCAAACTCAAAAAGTATTAAGAAATGAGAAAAATTTGTTAAACAAAGAAAAGACTGTTGAACCGATATGTAATATCAATCCTCTGATGCGGCGGAGAATGCTGGACAATCTCATAGATTAAGAGAAGAATGGAGGTAACAGAAGTATGGTTCTACAGAAGGATGCTGAGAATACTGTATAAGTTTTAATGAAAAAGTAAACAAAAAAGACATACTTAGAATCAGAAAGAGAACCGAAATTTCTTGTACACATAATGAGGAAGGAATGCTTGAAGAATTTTACACTCATATGACATATCAAAGGCAGCTGGACAGAGAGAGGCAGTAGAGCACCTATCTGACCACCTTGTGTGGATGGATGACAGAACAGAGGGTAGGAGAGATAACAAAAAGATAAATGTTTACTAACAATTACAAGGGATAAAGAGCCATGACTGCCCACATCTTAAAGAGACGTGATATATAGTATAAGAATTATTCAGTTATACAGAATAAATGCCATTTAAAAAAAATCTAAAAACTAAAATATCTGACTTAATGACAAATAAATTTATTGTTTTAAACTCCTGACTCTACAAGAGAATCAGTCCTTAAGAATTCAAAATCAACATGAATCAACTTATGAGATGCTAAGCAAAGTATTAAGAAACAGGAAAAATTAGTTAGAAACAAAGAAAAGACTGTTAAACCAATATGTAATATCAATCCTCTGATACCGAGAGGAATGCTGAACAATCCTCTCATACAACAAATCCAACACGCAATCTTCTCGTGTGACATGCTCACTATACCTCACAAGTTTCTAATGGATAAAACTCCTCTCATTTCTACGTTTTTCAGATCCTCACCATGTGCACCGAGACTTTGATCAACTGAACCAGGACTTTGAATACTTCTCCTCCTCCTCTTCTGTTGAGGATGAAGTCAAATGGATGCAGACATTCAAGACTGCAAGATGAAGTCGACTGGAGGTGAATGTGGGGTAGTACGGGCTCGGACTGGGCTGGAGACTGTTTGCCTATGTTTGGTGTTTGTGGCTAATATTCTTTATGCCTTAGCAGCAGTCACCCATGCCTGGTTTCAGTTGCCCCCTCACAGTTTTTATGGTCTCTGGTGGGTCAAGTTTTGTGATTATCTCCGATGTCAAATTATACCTGCCTTCTATGCTGAAGAACCTGGTGAGATATACATATTTTTTCTTTTTACCATTTTCTTTCTTTTTTTTTTTTGTTCTTTTCATTGGGCTTTTTTTCTTTTTTCTTTTACCTTTTGTATTCTTTTATTTTTTGTTTTTTTTGTGCAGTGTTTGTTGTTCTGGTTGTTTTTTTTTCCTTGTAATGACATCACAATCAAGAAGTGGCCGTCCATGAAAAATAACAGCAAAAGCAAGTAGATATCTACTTCAGCAAACCCAGACAAAACCTGCTCTGACCTTTTCGGTTCTCCAATGCTCACTGGCCAATGTTGGAATCAATGTGCATACATCTACAGTGTGATGAAATCTGAACAATGTCGATCTTCATGGCAAGATGCATAGAAAAAAAAGTCACTGTTTATGAAATAGCAAATATGTTCATCTCAACTATGCGAAAACTCATATTAATAGGGTAGAAACTTTCAGGAAGTATAGTACGCATTGACAACACAATGGACTCTGAAAGATACAAAACAATTTTGATGAAAGTGTCTTGTCCTCAGTTCAAAAGTTGAGTTTAGGTCAAGGTTGGAACTTTCAACAAGACACTGATCCGAAGCATCAAAGAAAATCTATGAAAGAATGGGTTTGTAAAAAGAAATTTCAAGTCTTGGAACAGCCTAGTTAAAATTCTGATCTAAACCCAAGTGATTCAAATGAAAGAAGGCAGTGCATTCAAGAAACCCAGATAATATTGAACAATTGTGACAGTTTTGCCAAGAAGAATGGCCAAAATCGGCACTCACTACTGCCAGAAACTTCTTGAAAATTATAGAACAAGATTGGTTGACATTGTAACTTCAAAAGGAACAATCACCAAATATTAAATGTAAAGGTTCACTTGCTTTTGCACATCTTAATTTTTAATTAATATTTTTTTTTTTTATTCCAGCTTGATAATGATTTTTGAAAGTGGTTGTAATTGATTTAATAAAGACTTTTCTTAACAAATATATACTTTAATTAATTTTTAGGAGAAAGAGACAATCTTTTTAAATATTATCTTAGGATTCACTTACTTTTGCACAGCACTGTATATTAATAAATAATTCTTAACACCCTATAGCATAAGGTCTCACTTCACCACAAATTAACATATTTAAATATATTATCATTAATACTAGATGGAACCATGGACATTCCATGGGTATGGCTAAGATTATCCATTACTACATGCCACTACTTTTCTGTGTCTTCTCTTTCTCTTCCTTATCCCTTCCAATCTTAGTTGCCATCTTAACTGCCATACAACATAAATTAGTTCCAGAATTTTATTGTACAGCAATTTTTACACCTTTTTATGTATACGTTTCTTTCTTTTTCTTCTTTCTCTGGTTTTCTTTTAGCTTTCTTACCTCCCCTCTTTCCTTTTACCTTCATCTTCTCTCTCTCTCTCTCTCTCTCTCTCTCACTACCTCCCAGTTCAGAAAAGCCAGAAATTAATACTGTAACTGGAAGAATTAATGCCGGGTCACCAACAGTCAAACTAATGGTGACCAACACACATAAGCAATTGGGACAGCTTGCCCAGGTATTCAACTCTCGTGATTTATATAGGCACCCAAGATGCTCACCATTATTCGGATAACATATTTGCATACACTGCCGAGTTCTTTATTAATGACCTTGAGACATGCCCTAATGATCATTTATGTCTGCTTTTATACACCTTACCATAAATATTTGATTTAGTATGATATAAGGTCACAAATGGATCGAGTGAAAATAGAACTGCAAAACCAACATGTCAACTATTGCTCTACAGCAGGAGCCCTTTATTGATATGTCCTAAACTTAGCTTCATACCACACAAGGTTACAAATATGTGGCACCCAGTGAGGATTGAACTTAATTCAATAGTAATTTTTTGGTTAGAGAAGCTGACTATTATTTCATAATAAAAAAAAAAAATTGATATTTGCTATTATCTATAAAGTGATCATTTTAAATTTTTTTTTTATCATCATTTTAATTTAATTTTTTAATTTTTTTTTTTTTTGTCATCATTTTAATTTTGTCCTTGTCCTATGTTTCCCTAGTCTCTCATGTTTTCTCTGACTTTGTTTTCTTCCAGCCTGGTACCATGTGATGCAATTTCTCAGCTTGACTGGCTGGGCTGGGATGATGATCACGATGGTAATGCTGATCTCCAAGAGACTGGACATGTACCTACCACCAACATTCCGCACCAATCGCCTACTCACGGTTTCCTCCTTGTGTCTTTTGTCTGGTAAAAAAAATACAGCTTATATAGTTTATTTCTTCTCCTAAATCTGTGATATTAACAAAAAAAAACATTACATGTTTTTTTTTTTATTATTATTTAAAATATCTTTTTCGCTGTATTTACATTACACTCATCTTTGTGTTTTATTTGTCAAGCGTTTGGCCGTTTTGCGCTCCGCCTTCTTCAGGTGGTTGGAATTTCAACTGAACCCTTTATTTACATCACTGGGGTAGACTGTTCTAATTCCACGTGCCATGTTTGATGGATGTCAGTTATCAGTTATCTCCTGCTAATTTTCCCTCTGAAAGTTCTCCACTGCCTTAACCAGGAATTGAACTCACCTTCTTTGGGTCTGTCACTGGATCTAACCAACGCCTTTATCCACTGTGCCATGTGTCCTTGAGGACATCTGGGTATGAACTTCTGAGTATTATAAACCTAATGTTTTCAGCATCATTTTTACCAGTGCTCATATTGCAATTAATGTACAACGGCCGAAACGTGACAAATATGGCGACAAAGATGAGGACAATAGTCTGACTAATGTAAATACTGTACATAATACCTCATCTCAGAAATATAGACAATCTTTTTCGCTAAATAGCATGGAAGTTGTTCTAATGAGCTCTCCTCCCTGGTATCTCAACTGCATGAATTTAAGCATACTACTAGATTGGCAATTAGGTCTCATTACGTTACTGTTGAAATAGATCAATGTAACCATGAGATTTATTCTAATAGTTTCTTTTCTAGCCTGTGGAACTCTATTTCCGTTTCTTGCTTTCTGATACATACAATCTTCAGAAATTTAAATGCAACATCAATTGCAGTCTTCTGTCCTCCCGGACCCTGTTCTTTTATTGTCCTTTCTCCTCACTAAAGTCTTCTGATTCTCTTTCACTTCCAGTAACCTCTTTTGTCTTAGTGGCATTTTCACTTTGCTTGGGGTGAAATGATTAAAAAAAAATTACAATCTTGTATCAGGTAAAGGATTAAATAAACTTTTATAATTTCTGTCTGAATTTCTAACATAAAAAGTTATCATTATTTACAGTCAGACCACATCTTTGTTGTTTTTATCACAACATTTTGGCTGTTGCACCCTCTGATTGAAACAGTTTTTTGATTGGTTGATTCATTTTCTATGGCTTATCAATGTTAAATAATAGTTTCAGACTATTGTTTTTTATTGGTAATGTATTTGTCTCAGGCTGAGGCTGACTTTAAGGCCAGATGGTAGACAAAATAAAGATGTCGATTTTGGTTGGCTGAGCCAAACGTGGGAATGTTAGAGGGATAGAAAGTGTTTTTAGGGCATAAAGTTTTTATATCTCGAAGAATGCAGATGTCTTAATTTCATGTGTGGAAACAGTTCCCCAGTTGGGAGGGATAGCAATCCCACTGGCTAGTTAGATGTACACATCATGATTAATAAACTAGATAAGTTTAAAATCCCTTTTCTTGAAGTTCTCATTTTACCTCCAAACAAACCAAGTAGCGATCACCTGTCAGAGAGAAAGAGAGGAAGACAACTTTCTTATGATTGTCAAATCAATAGACGTCCCCAGAAGAGAGGAGGGGGGTGCAACCCTTATTAGATTATTTAAAGCCAGGAGAGTTAGATTGTAAGAATATTTTTGAGATAATAATGCTTTAGTGATACTTATTAACCCATAGCTAGGGGGAAAATAGGTGGATTCATACCCTTTCCTCAAGGGTATTTGCATATATATATATAATTTTTTTTTTTCCCAATGAGTTTGTGCAGAAAGTGGTTGAAAGTTTTGTGGGCCAACAAGAACCTCTTCTCGCCACTGTCAAACGGTGATAAATAGTCTTCATTTTGTTTTCTTTCTTTTTCTTTTTTTTTTTTTTTAAAAAAAAAAAACACTTAAGTTATATACAATGTGGAGCTAACCAATAAAAAAAGACTTTAGTTTTGGACCTGGTATCCCAAAATTATCTCAGGAAAAGTATAAGTTGGTTTGCACCAAAACCTGTGTAGGTCAATGTAATAACATTTTCAAAATACAAAAAATTAATCAAGGTGGATTTGTAATGTTCTTGGTCCTACCTGGTATTTTGATTTTAGTCACTTTCCTACCACCATGATGTGGCTTTCCACTGTCTTTTCTGTAAATATTTTCATGGCAACTTTTCTATTGACCTTTCATCCTTGCTACCTCAACTGCATCAATTTAAGCGTACTACTTGATTGGCTGCTATTTTACTGTTGAAATAGCTAGATGTCAATGTAAGTTCTGTTCTAATAGTTTCTTTTCTTGTCTGTGGAACTCTTCTGATTTTTTATTTCCCTGCCACCTACAATCTTCAAAAATTTAAATCCAATGTCAATTGCTATCTTCTGTCTTCCTGTAATCTGTTCTTTTATTGTCCTTTCTCTTCACTAACATTTTTTTGGTAACCCACTTCTTCTTAGTGGCATTGTCACCTTGAATGTGATGAAATGTCCTCAAATCTATCAAAAGTTGAGTCATAAGATTCTGAGGAGAAAATCTCAAAATAATTACAAAAAGAAAAAAAAGTTTAGTTTGTTGCTACTGAAATGTTTTTGTTTAATTCTTTTCATTTGTACAATTGATATGCAAGGACTAAAATATATTTCTGAAGTTTTAAAATTGGTTGTTGATTCCCCACATTCCATACTGAAAATTTATGTGATATATTGTATATATATATATATATATATATATATATATATATATATATATACATATAGTGCTTAGTGTTAGAAAACAGAGTTATTATGAATATATTCATATCCTACCAGTAGTTTAAACTCATTTTCAAGTGCTGGTCAAAATCTATATACAAAAGGGTTAAAAATAATATAAAAATACTGCATCAAAATATACTTGCGAAACATAGCATTACATTTAATTAGAAAATGTAAAGTTTATCAACAAACAAGTGAAAATTTTAAAATACTGTTACTTTTAATTGAAATAATTTAAAAAAAAACATTGAAAAAAAGGTTTTTTTTTTTTTAATTGGTTATAAAAACATAAAACCATGTAAAAAAAATAGACAAATACATAACAAATAAGTCACAACAACAATTTAATTCTCGGTATATCCTCCATTTTTTTCATATTACTTCAAAAATTCGCTTTGGCATACTCAATAACTTCTGCATGAGGGTGCTTGTAGTGCACGCCCAGGATGCATAAACTGCAGCACGAAGAGCATCCACAGTTTCAAATTGCAATACATGTTTATAAACATCCTTTGCCCTCCATCCTCAAATATTCTCGATTGGGTTTCGCTCTGGAGAGCATTGTGGATTGCAGCATTGTGGATTGCAGCATTGTCCTGCAAGAAAATCCACTTTTCGCCACATAGATGAGGGCCTTCAGTAATTAGCAATGTCTTTCTTAACATGTCAATGTAACTAGCAGCTGTTTGACAACCTTTTACCTCCTGTAACTCAAGAGTTCCATTGTACGAAAATGAACCCCAGACCATAATTGATCCACCTCCACTGTGTTGTGCTGAGAAAATTTCTTTTGGGACATCTTTTGCATGCCAGTAATGCTGAAAACCATCTGTACCATCAAGATTGAATTTTTTCTCATCTGAAAACATTTTCTTCCATTTATCCACATCCCAAGTTTGATAATCTGGAGCAAATTGTAAACAGGAGGTTTTATGGTGAAGAAGAAGGCAAGACCTCTGCAACTGTTTCAAGTTCTTAAACCCTTTCTTATTTAAATGCTGTTGAATTGTTCGGGAGCTGCATTCAGCATCTGTATTCGCATTTATCTGATTTGGTGTTAGGCTTGAATCTCTCTTAACTTCTTGCCTAATGCATCTCTCTAGAGATGGTGAGATTTTATTGGGGTGATCGCTTGATTTTTTTAGAAGCATACGCATCCAGATTTTTAATGAAGTTAGCAATGACAGTTCTGCTATGGCCAATTTCATTTGCAATGGCTCCTTGTGAAAGACCACATCTTTGAAGTTCAACAATCCTGCCCTGTTTGAATTTTGTTAAAATTTGACCCTTAGCTATTTTAAAATCTGAAATTTAATGCTGGAATTGAGTTACGTAGATGTCTACATGCCTGAAGTTATGAGCACACTGACTAGTTTTAAAATTTTTGTCCAGTAATTTTTTTTCACACATGGCCATATCTTTATGACCAACCAAAAAATCCGTTCTTTTTTTTTTTTTTTTTTTTTTTTTTTCAATATTTGTTTAAATTAATCAATTAAAAGCTTAAAATTTTCACTACATTTTCTAATTAAATGTAAATGTTTTGCAAATATATTTTGATTAATGTAACAGTATTTTATTTTTTTATTTTTTTTTTTAACCCCTTTTGTCCGTCCAGAGTATGACGATAAACTACATCCAGCAGCAAGGCCTCTAATCAGGAGGTTTTGAGGAGCATGAAACCACCTCTTAATTGCTGGTGTTCCCATGTTCATCCTGGCCCAGGGTGGTAGCACCTGTTAGGGTCCCAGCTATGGGCAAATAGTTAACCCCGAAACTGGGGTAAAAATGGGTTTTAATACTAGGAATACTTTGTAAAAAAAAAAAAAAAAAAAAAAATATTATCAGTAATAAATTTTGTAAAATACATCTATTGGATGCTTTGGTACACATCATCAGTGATCTTTCTAGCATAGGTTCATTAGGGGGTTTGGATCTTTCAACATCATACTCCCTCTCTACAGTGACCCAGCTGATACTGACTGGATATTGACTAGTGTATCTTCTGTTAGCTACACTTTTTTCCATCTTCCTGACTACACACACCATGCGACTCTTCTTGGCAATTTATGGTCCAATCCCGGATAACTTCCAATTTGACCAGCAATGTGTGCTCTTCCATAAAATATATATAATCTTCTTGTGTGTGTGTGTGTACACACACACACGCACTTTTAATAATTTCACTCCAAACAAAGCAATAAAGTCACTAAGACACACATGGTTACTGAACATGGGAGAATATGAGAAAAAGAAAACATTATTAAGGAGAGAGAACAATAAAATAACAGGAATTAAGAATTGACATTTCATTTAAATTTTTGAAGATCAAAGCTGACTGGAAAGCGAGAAGTGCAAGAGAAGAAACTGTTAGCATAGAACTTACATCTAGCCATTTCATCTATAAAATAATGAGACCATGCCACCAATCTAGTACTGTGGTTAAATTCACAAATTCTAGGCACCAAAGAAGAAAGCTCTTCATAACAATTACCATGAAAATATTTACTGAAATGCCAAGAAAGATTGAATCAGATAATAAATTTGTCCCAAAATACCGTAACTTTTCAACTTATGAAGAAAACTGCTATGCCAAATCCTGTCAATTCAGAGTTGATTAGAGCCTTTAGTATTTTGCCAAAAGGAAGTAGAATGCATGCATATATATTGTCATCTGCAGACAGACTGTTTCAGTGTATCACAGCTCATCACTGTGGCTAGATGTCCAGTTGCCTCTAGATAGGATCAGAACCCGACTGAATTGGCATCAGTCGAGGATTCTGCTACTAAGCTGTTGGTGCACAGCAGGGATGAAGGTGAATTTAAGTGTATTTATTTTTAGATACACACACAGTGACTGAGAGAACTTGATTTGATTTACCGAAGAGTCTTGCATTATTAGCCGTAATATATATATATATATATATATGCAACACAAGACCACTTTTATTTCACGATTCAATAAGGAAGACTGAATCAGTTCCAAAATTCATCCATAAATAACATAACCTTTCAACTTGTGAAGAAGACTAGCATGCCAAATCCTGTCAATTACCCCACATCCCATGTTGAAAAATCATTTTTTGTTTGTGTGTGGTGGGGGTACTTATTTTAAAACACCAAATGATCACACAAGAATACAAATAAAACATCATATTTCTGACTGAATCTCTGGGATGAAATGTTATTATTTATGCTATTTACATTTAAACTATTTTCATTATCTTTGTTGTTGTTATCAAAATGTTTTGGCTGTTGTATCATCCAGGACAGTAGCCTAGTTGGTTCATGAATTTGGTGACAAGGTAATTGTGAGTTCAATCCTTGGGTTGGGCAGTGTGTACTTGGACTCAGTAGAACAAGGCAAGCAATAACTGAACAGTACTAAAAATAAGAACTAGACAAGATATCCCAGACTTGGCCAGTGGAATGAGAACAGTCTACCACCATAGATTAAAGAGTTCAGTTTAGAATTCACTGTACGCTACCCAGATCGATATACACCTGACAAAAACCAGAGGGCACAACAGCTAAAACATTATGACTAGGACAATAGTAAGAATGTAAATAATGAACCATCAAAGTAATATAAAATGTAAATAATTAACCATCTATTTTGATGTTTCATTGTTTACATTATATAAAAATGTTCATTGTTTACATTATATAAAAATGTTCATTGTTTACATTATATAAAATGTAAATAATTCATGTTTACAAGATAAATAAGTAAAATCTTTAAGAGAACTGTCCAATATGATATTTGCAGGAAGAAGTATTCAAAATAGTTTTTTTTTTCTTCTCTGTTTTTACAGTATCGGCCATTTCTACTAGTATTATCATGTTTTATGCCAAGTTGGATGAATCAAGCCCAAAACAGACTCCACAAATGTCTTGGTCAACAGAATTGGCCGGAGCTGCATGTATCTTTGAACTGATTGCTGCTTTGTTGTTATTGACTGTATCCTGAGTGTTGACCATGCAGTGTACCCAATCAGCAAGTCATCCACAGGAACAAGTTACACCAAGGTCAGCACCAACTATCATGGTAGTCACCCAGCTTACTTGTACTATTTTTTGACCTAACTACCAATCTTTAATTCAACTGGCACCATTCAGAGCATGAATTGAAAAGAAACTGTTCTTAAGCATTAACCAAAAAAAAGTCTTCACAGATATATACACACACACATATATATGACAGCTGTTTTTTTTTTTTTTTTTTTTTTGTAACATTCTTTTTGGTTTGCCTTCCCACTTTCAGTGTCTTCACAGAAAATTGGAGAAAAAGATTTTCTTTTTTTTCTTTGCACACTTCTTTGGATGGAAAGGTTTGGTGATATGAAGTGTACCTGATTGTTAAGCTCTAGGTAACTTTATTTTTTATTTCCTCTTCTTTTTTTACAATTGCTATGGAAGATCAAGTTAACCTAATGATGATCTGACTTAAATTTGAACCTGATGACCTCTTCACACCAGTTTTGATTTTTTGTTTTTTTCTTTCCATTCTCTTTATAAAATGGAAAAAGCAATTCTCCCGGTTCTTTCCCTTACCTGAAATACATTCTATTTTGTATAATGCCAGCCTTATGCACTGCCAAGATCTTTTAATGATTTGTTTTCATCTTTGGATTGTAAAAAGATAATCTCCTTCTCCAGTTGTTTGTCTTCATTCTTAAAATTAACATATGAAAAATATAACATAAGCAAATATTTATCTAAGTAACAGTGAACAAATAAATGACAATACAGAAAACTTTATTGTGACACATTTTGTTCATAGTAAGCATCTTCAGACAATTCAATCATATATCTATAAAGAGAAACATACAATAAATGCTACCATAGTTTATATTAAAATGTTAAAGATCAAGAAACACTAAATATTAGTCTATACAATTATACAATATTTTGCCTCATTTACTGTGGAAATACAGAAAGGAGGTCTTAACTCCATTAAAACTCTTATAAACAACATAATTTTTAATCTTTGATTCAAATTGTTTGTGTTTTTTTTTGTTTTTTTTTTTTCAAACTACTTGGACTGATTCCATCCTGCAATTATAGATATGTATGTATGAAATGCAACATAATTTATTTTATGGGAATGTATTTTTTTTTTTTTTTTTTTTTTTAAGGATATGGAAGCAATCGGGTATTATTTTTGTTTCTAAACAGCACAAATTCATTTGAATATTTCTAATATCATAAATTGAAATAACCTCTGGTTTACAAGTTTTCAACTGGCAAAAAAATGAATTGCTGTAATTGTAACTGAGCAGAACAAAATCCAAAGCTTCCAATGGTTGATGAAATTCTGCAGAGTGTTGCTTTGGTAAAACTTTTATTTTGGTAATCAATATGCTAGGCACATGAAATATTGAAAATAGAATCTTCTTGTGTTGAGCGTTTAGCTTTTGTTCTTAGATAATTTAGATAAATTGCTTAGATAAGTTATTTTTGTTTTAAGAAAACTGTATAAAATAAATATCTTAAAATGTTTAATAAATTGGTAAATGGTAGAAAAGTAAAGTCAGTATTTCAAATTTAGTCATGGTTACACTTAAGACTTTCCTGTATTTTTGGAGTCTATACCTTTTTTCACCAGCAAATGATTAATAAAGTCAATTGTGTATGATTTTAAACAAATCTGGATGTTTCGGGCATGAAATAAATAAACCTAAGCCAGTTGACTAAAGTGAGCTCATCAGTTTGGGATCTTCCGCTTAGTTTCTGCAGTTTTTAACATACAGGACAATTATAAAATAACACCTTTTTTTTTTTTTTCTTTTTTTTTTTTTTTTTTTTTGTCTCTCTCTCTCTCTCTCTCTCTTATGGAAAATTAATTTTATTTATGACTATTAATGACTTTTGTTAAAAAAATTTTTTTACTTTTTTCTTTTCTCTTTTTCTTTTCTCTTTTTCTTTTTTTTCTTTTTTTTTTTTTAAGAAACAAAAATTATTGAGCTAGATTTTAATACCCTGTTTATTGACAGCTGTTAAAAAATGGAGATGGCCAACTTTTAACCAAGAAACTATACATACACACACACACACACAGTTTTGCTGAAAAAATATGAAGATATGTGGAAAAAATGTTCACGTGATGTATTTCATCGTTTAGAACTTTATCAGACTAAAGTGATGTTTACATTGATGCAACTACACATGTGCATGAAGGAGGGAAGATGCTGAGAATTCTTTGTACACATGTGTAGTTGCATCAACATATGCATCACTTTAGTCCAATGATGTCCTAAACGACAAAATGCACTCTACAGACACTTCCATTTTGTCATTTTTTTTTTTTTTTTTTTTTTTTTCCTTAAGATTATTGTCCTTGATTATATAAAAATTATATACCATTTTCACACACACACACACATTATTGCTGTTTGGTTACTTTGTGTATGGCACACATTTTTTGCTTGGGACTTTACTGAACATGTCAAATACTGTATCCTTCAAGGTCGATATTCTTTCCAAGGATGATTTTTGTTTTGTGATGTGTGAAATACAACTTTGTGTGCATGCATCCAAACTAACTATATTTCTGTGCTTCCCGCACCAATTTCATAATATTCATAACCAATGTATGATCTAACTTGGCGTCTTTGGTAAGATCCACTTTATTATTCTGAGAGGGGATGTTATAAGGAACTGCTTTTGCACTTATTGTGGAATGGGCATGATTCTATTGGAGCATTATCACCAAAACTTGATACACATGTGCTTATTTAAAGTTTGAACTGTTAATTTATTTTAATGTTTTCTGAAACCATTTTTTTTTCCATTGATATGCATCAGGATTATTAAAAACAAAATGTATGAAAGAAAATTCGCTTTAGGAAGTTTACTTGTTATGCCTTTGAGATGCGTATATCTATGTAACACTGAAAGACTTTATTTTTGTGTGTAACTTCTTAACAGCTGAGATGGTGCGTTGTAGCCAGAAATACATCAGGCACAACAAAAATGTGCTGAATTAATGCAAAAAAAAACAAAATGGAAACCAAAATAGGAGTGATTAGAAAATGAATGATAATATTGTGGGCTTTTCATTTGCACTGACCTGAGAGCAGAGGGGGGAAAAAACCGTTACAAGAGATAAGGGTTCAATGATAATTATAAAATAAAACCCCCTATTTATTTGCTGATCTGCATATTAATAAAGAAAAAAATCTGAGCACAAAAAGAAAATAATTACCTTTTTTGTATATAAGGTGCAGAAGACATCAGGGAGCGAATTCAATTATAATCTTTGTTTCTATTATAATTCTCTCTCAAAAGGTGAGCCAACAGATCACGGGGTCGTATAGTTTGTGTGCATCTGTGTGTCTAATTTCATTTAAACCATTTAGACATGCAAAATTTTTAGTTTTTACCTAAGTGTTTTTTTTTTTTTTTTTTTTTTTTTTTTTTATATAAATGATTTACTTTGTTCCTTGGATTTGCAAAGAGTGCTGTTAAATATTTTAAAGAAACCACCTCTTCAGATTTTTCTCCTGCCCTAATTTTGGTTATAAGTCAGTATAAATCTCTGCCATTTAGTAATAATATCTGAAAATGAAAGGTTAGCTTATAATTCTTGCCTCAACTTGTATAAAGCTCATTGTCTCATGTATCCACTCAAATGGTCTAAGATTTTTCTTCCACAGAAAAATAACCCCCAGAATGACAAGAAATGCAAGAGAATTACTACTTAACTCTTAAGTTCATTTATAAAATTAAAAAAAAAAAAAAAAACTCTACTAAAATGGAACATATATCTGACTTCAGAATTAAAGTGAAAGTTTTTATTTACTAAGATTTGCTTAGTCTGAAACAAAACTGCACACAGTGAGGATCAAATTCTCAATGGTGAATTGTATACTACAAAAACCCGTTGACCCTCACGTTGGGTGTTTGAAATAAAGTGTTTATGCCTATTCCATCCGAAGTTGGAATCTTGTTTCAGAATTCTATTTTCATGACATGTTACGTTTTCTTTATAAAGTCTTTTGGAAAAATGCAGTTCTTTTGGAGAGAATTTTTTTTTCTATTCCTTGGTATTTATACGTCATCAGAATGTTAGAAAGTTATTTTTTATTTTTATTTATTTATTTTTTTTTTTTTTAAATGTAAGTGTGACTAGGAATACACACAGCTTTCAAAATTACTTTCTACCTAAGGGCTCACATAAAATGTCACTCCAGCCAAAATGCAATAGCAGGGTCTCACTTAGAGGAAGGTCATGATTGATCCCATCCCACCTATGTTATCTTCAAGGGGGGGATGCTGAAAAGTCCTTGGTCTGTAAGAAAATCCAAAATTCTGCCAAAACCATAAAACAATAGTTTTTTTTTTTTTTTTTTTTTTTTATTATTATTATTATATCTATTTTTTTAATTGTTTTTTGGTCAGGCTAAGAACTTTTCAGCTTTTGTAAATATGGTCAAGAATGTTGTTTTGTTTTTTTGTTTTTTTTTTTTTTTTTTTTTTTTTTTTACAGCAAATTTCATCCTTTACTAGGTCCAGGTGCCACTCAAGGTAGAGGGTTACATTTGGAATGTGTGGGGGGGGGCATTTATGTGCATAGGAGTGGAAGATACCAGTTAACCCTAGTTAAAATATCTACCCTGGACTTATTAATTTTGCCTTTTTCATTTATTTGTTGTTTTATTTATTCTTTTCTTTTCAGTTATAGGAAATATTTTTAAAAAGTGTGTGCATTTGTGTATAGTGATTTAGTAAGTGTGGCTTACTTGTGGCACAAGGCCGAAATCATGGAGCACTCAGCAAGGATCAAACTCACTACCCAGTTGTAATTGATCCAGCAAGGCAAGCTTGCTAACCATTACACTATGTCAAAGTGCCCATATGTCACTTACACATGTGTAAAGATAAAATAAATTCTGTGGGTGTATAATCCAAGTGGGTCCTAGTAATATGAAAAATATTAAAACTGATCCACAAAAAGAGAGCTCAATGTATTTTATTTGTACAGAGCAATAGGATGAATAATAAAAAAAAATTCTTTTTACCTCATGTGGGGAATAGGCTATTTCAGTGGATGACAAAAGTGGTACTTTGTCTTTTCAAGCCCAACATGGAATGGAATTCACATCTGTAGAGCTAGAGGAAGCAGGAAGTAAAAGTTAGCTCTACAGACATGAATTCCATTCTCTATCAGGGTTGAAAAGACAGACAACCACTTTTTTTTTTTTTTTTTTTTTTTAATTTTTTTATATATATATATATATATATATATATATATATATATATATATAAAAAAGAGCTCAAATATTAATATTCCATGGTTATAATTTATTACGATTCCAATGTAATAAATTATAACCATGGAATATTAGTGTTTGAGCCTCTTATATTCTTACTCTGTCCTGGACATTGAGTTCCACCTGGATTCTATCCTCTTGGGAATTTATATATATATATGATGGAATCTCCCAGCATTTTCGATATATTAGGGTTTATCACCATGTTCTGCCATTGATGCCCTTACTTGTGTTTCTGTCTTCGATAATTTTTAAGGCCAACATTCTACATATAGGACCAGGAAGAGCACCCTTTGTGAAGGCTGCAGGAATATTAGAGCAGTATTCAGTATTCAGCCTTGTAATCTGCGGCCATTCAACGTGTGACCCCTCAAAATTTGTAATACCTTTTATGCACACACTCCTCCTCCTTGAGACGATCAGAAGTTACTTCCTTAAATGGCAACAGAGAGACGTCAGTAGAACATAGGTTTTGCTGAAGTAGGCTGTGCATGAGTTGTGTATGTGTGTGCATATATAAAATGAGTTTGTTACATTCCGTCTTACACAAATACTCTTTGGGAAGTTAGGAATCTATGTCTCTCCCTACAGTTATGGGTTATATAGCAGTGCAGACTAGGCTCTCTAGCCTTGGTTGGCATCCAGTGTAGAAGGAAGACAACTCTGAATTCAGGAGGGCTATTTACAGACTGCACTAGTTATGTATTAGCATTTCTCTTGAAAAGTGTGGCTGGTTCTACACCACTATTTATAAAGTGTGGCTGGTTCACCACAATAGTGAATTTATAGGCCTGCATATGTTACAGTTGACAGGGGAGTCCTGACCACACACACATACGCTGAAAAGTTCTCAGTTAAAGCATGAGCCCTTACCCCTCCAACCCCACTCCATCCCACCCAAAAAATAAAAAAATATCTGATATTTGGTCATATTTTGAGAAGTAGGAATATTTCTAAGAATATTTCTTACCCTCAAGTGTGTTAGTGTGTTGTGTGTGTGTATATATATATATATATATATATATATATATATATATATATATATATATATAGTGTGTGAATTAGAATCCAACAGAATGATAGGATAAGGAACAAATAGGAAATGTTTTTAATTTAACATGTTTCGCTTTTATTTAAGCTTCATCAGAAGTGTTTTCGAAATGAGTTGTAGAAAAGAATGTTCCAGTACTTTGAATTCTGTGTTGTTTGTTCTTTTATATTTTTGTCTCATTGGTGAGTATGCATCTGACTTGTCATGGACATCTTTGTGTTTGGTAGTGTCAATGTGTCTAATTCCTCAAGGTAGTAGTGGGAGGAAATGGGAAGTGTGTGTGTGTCAGATCCCTAGTTGGTCTTGTGGGAGTTGCACATTATTTTGTTGGAGTAAGTAAATTTCATTGTTGAGGAAAAAATCTTTTGTATCAAGAAATTTGAGGGTATATAGATTTGTGTTTTGGTTTGATTCTCTTATTGTTAATAATATTATTATTATTATTTTTATTATAATGTCTGTTAAGGTAAAACTTGTGCGTATCTTTTTGGGTATGTGAGTATGTATTGGTTTCAATCTATTATTGATGTTGTTATATATATATATATATATATATATATATATATCACTTTTGAGTGTACTGGGAGTTATTTGTTGTGTTGGAGAAAGGTAGTATAAAAGATTTTGGTTACACCATCTACAGGTATCTGGATCTTACATCTTTAAGTATGGCCTTTATAAATGTTGGTGATATGAAAGAAATGTATCTGGCGTGTTTATTGATGGAAGGATTTAAATGAATATTCCCTCCAGATATTTTCTTCTTCATAAGATCTGTTCATTTTGTATTAGTGTGGCACTTTTTAAATCAAACTTATCACCCATTTTATTTTTTTGTTTATGAACGTTTTCTAATTGTTCCTTATTTTATTTATTTATATATATATAAAGACAGATAGAGATGAGTAAAAATTTGTTACTTAGCTGACTGATGTTACCTTCAGCATCCTGACTCCAGAATTTCATAGACGGACCTGTCCGTCCACACTTCAGCAGGGGTATCAGCAATTATATATATATATTACACACACACAATGCACTCAAACTAAGATCAGATGTTAAGGATGTCTTTTAATAATAAAAACAGTGGTTTGCTTAAGCCATTATTCAATTTTCAGATTAGCTGTAATTTTATTTTTTCCCTCCTCAAAAATATATGGGGATGGGAATCAACCAGTCACAGTTGTAATGGTTATCTTAATTTTTTTTCCATAATAAAACAAAAAAAATTATTTCTGAAATCTTTCACTGAGATGAGGTGCAAAAGTCGCCTTCTTTCAACCATTTTATTTTTCTCTCTCTCACTCAAATATGGAGTTTGAATAAAAAGTATTGGGACTACTGTTATGGTAATGGAGCTAAAGTATGCAGAGTGAAGCCACTTGGCATAGATTGACCTTGAACTCTGTATTGCATGCACACTAAGTTATAGCATTCTTGCTCACTTCCCTTGTTTATAGCATTACTTGGAAGGAAAGTGTGTAGAGTGAGGTTATGTCACTACATCACAGGTTCCATCAGTGACCATGGAAAAGAAAATTGAGCAAAGAATCTGCATTAAGGGCATTTCAGCCAAATACAACATTGCCCAGGTTTGACACCACCATATTCCCCAGATCTCATCCCTTGCAATTTTTTCCTCTTTCCAAAAATCAAATCTCAGTTAAAGGAACAAGATTTCAAGATGTCAAGGAAATCCAAAAGAATGCTACAAGGCAGCTGATCGCCATTCCCAAAAAAAGGAGTTCCAGGAATACTTCTATTAGTGGAAATGATGCTGAATAAAGTGTGTGGCTTTAGAAGGGGACTACTTTGAAGGAGATTAATTGCTGAATTGATATGTGTTGTAGTTTTCTTTTCATAGCACCAATCTCAATACTTTTTGATCAAATCTTGTACACACATGCACACACAAAAACAAGTTTTTTGCCAGATCAGTGTTCTTTTGAAAGCTCAGAAATTCTAAATTTTGAAATTTTCTATTTGCCATTTTTTGGGCTACTTAAGCTGGGCTAAAAATTAGACTACTAATAAGAAAATAATAAATTCAAAATTTAGTATCCTTGGTCTTTCAAATGTATCTAATTTGATACTTATATCCAAATCTGGCAATCTTGTCAAACACAAACTTACAAGAATGTTAGAAATTTGTTGGTGTGGGTTGCAGTGGGCAGAAAAATATTCAAAAGGGTAATCTTTTTAGTAAAAAGACTTTTAAAAAAATATTTCTTCATGTAAATATGAAAAGTGAATAAATAATTTTTTTTTCTATTTTGGTTTTATAATTTATGTCATTTTCTTACAATTTAATGTTTGTTAAATCTTTATTTAATTATAATAAAGAAAAGGAAGCCACAATTTTTGCTTTTAGAAAAGAGGCCTTCTTAATTCTAACATCAACTTTGTAAGGTTTAACATAACTACTTACTTTTTTTTTTTTTTTTATCTTTACTTTATGGCTTGCAGCTATATTATGTTGAAGCAGCAGTTCTCCTATGATCACCAAAGTTAAGCAATGTTGAACCTGGTCAGTATCTAAATGGGTGACCACTTGGGAATACCAGGTGCTGTAAGCATGCATGAGCAGGTGGTGTAATGGATAACTGTTGAGATTTGGAAAACAGAATGTTGAGTTCAATTCCCGTTGGGCTCAGTATATTCACTTATGGGCAAAAAGCCATGGGAAAGGTATTAATCCAACCCTACACCCCCAAGCTATGGGTTAATTAGTAGGACTCATATCAGTAAATCATTATCTCCAGAATAATCCTTACTCAAAAAATATTTTCTGACTTTAACCTGCAAAAGGTTGATAAGCCATAAAAAAGCAAATCAATCTTTACTTTATTTGCCAAAGTCAATAATTCCCCCGAGATGCTACTGGGAGTGAAAGAGAATGAAAAAGATTTTAGAAGGAACCAGAAACCCAATCCTAAACAGGAAACAAGGGATAAACTTCTGCTCCTGTTCAAAAGATTGGGGCAGAGTATGAACCAGACAACAGGTGAACCTGTCTACTCCTATTGAGGATAAAGACTAATAAATAAAATTTAAGAGCTCAGATGGAGACGTTAGAAGTATAGATTTGAAGTAGACTTTAGAAGGAACCAGAAACCCAATCCTAAATAGGAAACACAAGCAAAAACCTCTACTCCTGTTCAAAAGACTGGGGAGAAGTGTGAACGGGTTGATAGGCAAACCTATCTACTCCTAATTTAAAAATAGGGACAAACATACTGTACTCTTAAAGAAAATAAAGACCTATTATTCCTTTAGTTCAAACATATGGTCATTACGCTTTTCAATTTAAGATCAGGATGTAGTACTTGTAGTAATGAAAGTCACTTTTCTCGGATAAAAAGCTAACGTGTCACATGTATTCTCTGCCAAAGATAAAAATCTGAGCTGTGCCTGACACTCATCTATAAAGAACTCGCAAATGTAAGATGAGATATACTGCAAAGCAAAAGGTCGACACAAGTAGAAATAAATTAAAGTGCAGAGTAACCTAAGATCTAATTTACAAACAATATGTGCAAGAAAAACAGGTGCAGATGGTAATTTTTTTTTAATCATTTCACCCCAAACAAGGCAATAATGTCACTATAAGAATACATGATGGCCGCTTAATGACTTTACTCCATAGAGTGATGAAAGCAGCAGGGATTTTTCCATTCATTTACAGCAACCAAATGGTAAGGTTGCTTTTTTAGCTCAGCCCCCCCACTCTTTTTTTTTTTTTTTTTTTTTTTTGCAATGTATATACCAAACTCAGCAAAACAAATTTCGATGTCATTTATTTCTTGCATATTTGACTAGCAAAGTTAGGGGGAAAAATGGACAATTGTCCAGATTCCTGGTTGGCACTTGGCAAGTAATGTACTAAAAAATGGAATTTTAAAGGATTTTTTTATCAATAATGATGATGAAAAGAAAGAAATTAAGTCATTACTGCATAAAGTTTCCTTAAAATTTTAGCCCTTTTTGTCTAATCTAACTTGCTTGCTAATGGTAATCTTAGGGTTGTCAGATTTTAAATTTTAGGTAACCCCACTTTAAAAAGCTGGACACAACGCACTTATGAGTTAAATAGTTTCAGCATTCTCACTTAGGAGTTAATTAAACCAAAGAAAGTATGAAACTTACTATTCATTAAATCCTAAAGCTGGGGCCACATATTTGGCTTATAGTGTACACCTTTAGAAAGATTTCCATGCATTATGACCAGTGGGCAGCTTTTAATAATATTGTCAATATTACTGTTGTATAAGAAGCCTTTAACCATACAGTCAACATTGTGGACCTACCTTTCAGTTTCAAATAGATGGGCAGGGATGATTAAGCTTTTTTTGGAAAAAAATCCACACAGGAAATCCTTATCATCATCATCAAAACTGTTTCGATTTGAGGTCATGAATTAACAAGTTCTCTCATCTTCAGTGACATTGTATACAGATTCGACAATATTTTGCCAGCCTTCTCTTTCCTCTGCGAGTTTGAGGATTTGTTGTAGCTCTTCCTTGATTATAAACTTCTCCAAATCTTTCTGCCTTGTTCTTTGAATGTCTCGGTTCAGCATTGTGACTATGGTGGTTCTTGGATAACCTCTGAACTTTTTGAAGTCAGTCTTTTCAAATAAAACTCCATGGTTTTGTTATCTTGGCATTCTGGATCCATTTGCAAAATATGTCCAAGAAGTTTCCATCTTGCTTTCAAAATGAACAAAGACAAATGAGATTCTTGATATCTGTTGTACAAGTTATTGTTGGAGATATTATGAGGGTACTCTTTCCCTATCAGAATTTGCAGTTGTTGTTTGTGGAAACTGTTTAGCTCCTGCTCTTCTTTCTTTGTAAGGCCCCAAGTTCCACATTTGTAGGTCAAAACTGGTTTCACCAAGGTGTTATACAACTTTAATCTTCTCTTCTCAGATATTCTGTCTCCTCATATCTATAGTTTATCAAGGTTTTCCATTCTGACGATTACTGTTTGCTTCTCGTGATATCTTCAGAGTCTGCAATCAGTGAACCAAGTTTCTTTACTTGTCTCCATCACTCTGTATTTCTGTCTCTTCTTTCAATGATGGTGTGTTCTGTTTTATCTCCATTTATCTTCAAATTTCATGTTGGAAAGATCCTTTCAGCATCTGTAAGCATTTTCTGTTTTTCATCCTCACATAAAAATATGAAGTCTGTATCATCAGCATATATTTCTTCATCTGGAATGTTTTCGTTTTTCCTTTTAACAGAATACGAGTGCTCCACTAGAGGTCTGTCACCTCGTGTTTCAAATCTGTTTCTTCTCAGACTGTCTTCAAGGTATATGTTGAAAAACATGCCACTTATTCCATCACCTTGAGGTGAGCCAATTTTGCTTTCAAACTTCTCTGGTTACACTCCCTGCATCTTTATATCTAGTGTTATGTTACAAAGAAGTCGTCTGTACATCATTGCTTCATCATCACCAACAAACTTTTCAAGGATTTTTACAAGTTCCTCATGAATTATGGTATCAAAGGCCAATGACATGTCAATGCCAGTGATATATATTCTCAATATAAGCCATCTGTCCATCCAGACTACATTCCCAGTGCTCCTGTGTTCTCGGTAGGTGCTTTGGGAAAGGAAGAGGTATAGATCTGTAATGATCATCATCATCATCACACACATACATACATACTTACGCAAATTCAAATTATACAACAACAAGCATTCATTGGATAATAAATCAACAATGTATAATGGACAATTTATAAATCGCAGCTATGTGACAATTTTATAAACGCTATATTTTCATGTAGTTGATTTTGTGCACTTTTGGGAAAATTGGATCCCAGAAGTTTTTGTGATTCTCCCCAAAGCTCACTTGCTGATTGGTCAATGCCAACCAATCAGATTGTCTGCACATGAAAAGTGATTTTTCTCGTGCATTGTTTCAGAGCCGATGATCACCTTCCAAAATTATTCTTAGTTAAGTAATGAGATTTCAGCTGCCACACGAATCCACGACAGTTGAAACCATGCACCAATCTTTTCACTCACACCACCATTCACATGCTGAATATTCCCTAGACTCACATATTTTTTCTTACATAGCAAAACTGTTGAAAACATGTATTACCAGAAACTATTACAACCTTATTTCTTTCAGTGAACTTTGGAACAACTGATAGTTTAAGAGAGACAACTCTTGTTTTACTCAATGTATGCCTTTCTTTCACATCCTTGTTTGTACATCTTGTTAAATACAAATTTTATGTGTAATGATGTTTTTGGCTTATCCTCTTTTTCTTCACGTCAGTTTGATTTCCTAATCTAAGTTAAATTAATGTAGTGAAGTTCACCACAAATCGTATGCAGGTTTTATTCTTTTTGATGTTATATTTGAAAGAATCTTTCTGATGATAAGTAATAGAATGACAGGTCGGAGGTTTTTGACAAGACCTTTACTTTTTCCCAGTTTCTGGAGTGCAACAAGAATCCCTTTCCCAAGATCGAGTTCTTCGTGATGTTCAAGGACGTCATTCAATATGTCTCTTACGAACTTGTGCACTTCAGTTGGTGCATACTTCATTAATTCTGCTGATATGCCATCGGGTTCTGCCGCGTCTATTGTTGTTGAGTTTCAATATTGCACTCATCACCTCTTCTGTTGTAATATTTTCTTTCAATGGTTTTGGCTGACCTGCTTGTACGCTGTTGTCATAAAAATGAGCTTGGAAATGTTTTCTAACAGTCACATAAATTTCTTTTGGGTTTTTTTTACTTACTTCTCTTCCTCATCATGGACATAAGGATTCTCAGATCCTTTTCTTTGTAACAGTTTGACTCCTTTAAAGATTTTTGCTTCCTCTTTCATATTGCCAATTCTGTTAAATAGTTTGTCAATTTTATCTTCTCTGTTGCTGATCACTGATGACTTTATCTTTTTCAGGAGTCTGTTCCTTTCATTTCACATTCTTAGTACTTTGTGTCTTTGCAGACTGAAATCAAAGATTTCAGATTCTTCTGTTGATCTTATTATCTATTTGTTAAATATTTAGGAAATTTCCTCCCATCTGTTAATTTATACTGAAAACATTTAAGAACAAAGGGTTTCATTATTAAAATTTTTTTTTTTAAATTATCAAAAAAAATTTCAGCCATACATTTCATTCCAACCAACTCACCTATTTAAAACTAAAGTTTAGATATGATATTAGATATATATGCCCACATTAGAGGCAGCAGTGAAAATATTAGATGTATATGCCCACGTGAGAGACAGCAATGAAAATATTTGAGGTATATGGCCACATTAGAGAGAACAATGAAAATATTAGATGCCAAATGTGTCCAAAAACAAAAAAATGAAAGTGTGCTTTTCTCATTTGGTAAACTGACATTACACTATTTCTAAACCAAAATAAATATAATGTATAAATAAGAGGCTAAGTGAAAACAATTTAAATCTTTAAAAGAAATGAGAACGTATATAATCTTTATTATAACAATTATTTTTATTGATAAGAATGTTCACGTTTTTGTGTTAGTTGACCTATGTATGGAAGGTAAGTCTTTCTTCCCTAATAAAAA